TTAGTGGTTGCCAGAGACTGGGGTGAAGGGGTGACGGGGAGTAATGGGTAGGGGGCTTCTCTGGAGGGCCATGAGCATGTCCAGGAATCAGTTAGTGGTGATGGTTGCACGACTTTGTCAATATACAAAACCATCGGATGGTACACTGTAAGGGGTAAACTTTATGGTATGTGAGTTATAGCTCAATAAAGCTGTTATTAAAAAAAAAATCAGCTGCAGAAAGGAAAGGTCAGCCCAGCTGGGAGGGATGCAGTAGAAGATAGCGTGAGGGAGAGCTGGAGAGCAGGGCTTTCTCCCAGGAGGGAGCCTGACTCGGCCACTCCCCAGCTGGAGCTGCTCCGGCAAGCCCTGCCCTACACCCAGCCTCGGTTTCCTGTTTTTTGCAAAGTGGCAGGTGTGAACAAGCCAGTACCCTTCGATCCTGAGATGCCTCCACGTTTCAGGGGATGGTTTTCCCGGCTCTTGCCTGCGTTCAGGGTCCGTTAGAGCAGGAGGGACGAGTAGGGAACTCAGAGCTCTGGATCTTTGCCCCAAGAGCAACCGGGATAACGGCAAAGACGGAAAACCCGCATCACTCAAAACCCGAAGCACGCCCCGTGAGCAGAGCAACCTCGCTCACCTGCCAGCACAGCTGCTAAGCTGTCAGGGAGGAGAGCTGTATCGGGAGGCCACTCGGGAGCCACACTCAGACCAGTGTGGGCGAGCATCTCGCAGCCTGCGGGTTTCCTCCAGGGCAGGGCTCTGGCATCTGGGATCTGGGATCTGGGTCAGGCCCAGCAGCTCTTGCCCCAGTGCTGCCCGAGGCTCTTAACGCCAGAGGTTTGCAAGAATGAGAGAGGGGAGTCCAGGCACCCTCGGGGGCGGCACCACCCTCGTGTGGCCGGCACAGGGGGCAGCCTGGTTCAGCCTGGTTTCCTCTCGGCGGGCTCCTGCTCTAGGCTCCAGACGGGCCCGGGCGGAGTCAGTGAGGAAGAGGACCCCCAAACCAGAGTCACGTTGCCCGTCGGGGAGGAGAGGAAATCCATGCTGACATCCTATGAAAATATTTCTGCAGCTTGTTTACATAATGAACCCGGAGCTGACAGGTTCTCTTGGTGTCACTGGAGTGTGTGGTTGGAGGTGGGCCCGAGGCAGCTCCAGGTTCTTTGGCAGGAGGTTTCCGAGATGGCCCATTTTTCTTCCTTGCCTCTTTGGTTGCTATCCAGGCTTGATCTCAAAGCCAACGATTCATCCTCGCTCATCCTCCAGAAAGCTGCCTCCGTGGCGAGACCACCGAGCCAGTCCTGTGGCAGCCTGGGTCACACCAGGGGAGTGGGGGTGGGGGTTCTTTCCGGTCCGTGTTGTCCGTTCCAGGGTCCCAGTTTTCTGCCACCACCTGTGAAGGCAGAAGGGCCCCTATAAACTCAAACCACTCTGTGACTTTCAGTACCAGGTAATAATGACTTTTGTTCAGCGAGCTTGATGTTCCTTGAAGAAGAGGGTGCGTAATGTTGTTTTCCGCTTGGTGAGAGAAGCTGGAGTGGAGACGTCGTGTTCTCACACACACACCCGCAAATGTGCCCGACACCTTGCGGCTGGCAGTCTTGGGACAGGGCTGCGTGGCAGAGCTAGAGTGTCCCTGAGGCCGTGCAGGCCACAGCCACTCCACACGTTACAGACGGGGAAGCTGAGCCTGGAAGATGGGCTGACCTGCTCAAGGTCACGGTTGAGTGGCCAGGTGGGATCTGAGCCCAATGTCCTTGCCGCCCCTCTGGACTCTGCCCGCCATGTCATGCCGTGTCCCTTTTAAAGCCAAAAGAAAGGAGGGAACACTGCTTTGTTTCAACCTCTTCCGCTGTTCCTGTGTGCTGCCCAGACCCAGGCCCCCTGCTTATGGGAGTCTGCCCATTCCCTGGGAGCCCAGCAGAAGCCCTGCCCCCCGCCCCCCACCGCTGTGAGGCCCTGGTTTTCTCTGACCTGGGCTGCACCCCCTTCCCCCACTCATGGAGTCATTTTTGAGAGGGGAGCTGTGTTCTCTCCTTTCCACATTGGAGCCCACACTGAAGGTATTTGGGTTACATGACAGAGGCCACCTCTGCTTACTTGCTTACCTCTGTCAAGGACTTAAAACAAGATCCCTTCCCTGCTCCCCTCCCCACTGTGCATGTGGGTACAAAGGGGGGGAAATTAATAATTTTTCAAAGATGCTTTTTTTTTTTTTAAGATTTTACTTATTATTTGAGAGAGACAAAGAGAGCATGAGTGGAGAGAGGGAGAAGCAGACTCCCCGCTGAGCCGGGAGCCTGACGTGGGGCTTGATCTCAACACCCTGGGATCATGACCTGAACTGAAGGCAGACACTTAACCGATGGAGCCACCCAGGCGCCCTTCGAAGATGCTTTTAAGAGGGCTACTAAAATGATCCCTCCATGCGTCTATCTCTTTGCCCTACCTCCCCTTCAAAAAAAGAACTCTAGTGTTTGCTAAGAAAAGATCTGGTAATAAGACCAACAGGAAATCAGAATGAAAGGCAGAAGGTGACCTGCAGAAAGAATCGAAAGCAGGAACTCGAAGCAATATTTGTATGGCCGTGTTCACGGCAGCATTATTCACAGTAACTGAGGGGTGCAAGCAACCCAGTGTCCACCCGACACATGAACAGAGAAACAAAATGTGCTCCAAACAGACAGTGGAATATTACTCAGCCTTAAAGAGGAAGGAAATGCAGATTTCACCTACAGCTCGCAGGAACTCTGAGGACACGCTCAGTGAAACAAGCCAGGTGCAAAAGCACAAACGCTGTATGATTCCACATATGTTAGGTTTCTAGAGTAGTCAAGTTTATAGAGACAGAGAGTAGAATGGTGGATTCCAGGGCCTGGGGGATGGGGAATGGGGAATTCATTTTTATGGGGACAGGGATTTAGTTGTATAGGATGAGAGAGTTCTGGGGCTGGATGGTGGTGGTGGTTGCATAACAGTGGGAATGTACTGAATGCCGCTGAATTGGACACTACAAATGGTTGAGATGGTAACTTTATATATGTGTATTTCACCCCAGTTAAGCGGTTAAAAAGATGACAGTCCATAAGAGGAAATGATCAAATCCACATGGCATTGAAAGAGGTCTAGCTTTGTGTCTCCTTCCCCCGTTAGGCTATGAGTATTTCAAAGACGGAGACTCCAGTGCCCTATTCATCTTTGCTACCCTAGCACCTAACTCAGGTCCTCCAAGATGTTGGGTTCTCATTAAACGTTTGTGGCACTGAGCTCGTGGTGTGATTACAGGAATACTGTACACGAGTGGGCGTCAGGGCTTACAGACTGGTGCATACGCACGATCACATTTGGTGCACAGCCCTTGTGCTGTCCCCCAGGGAGCCAGCCCGGACACCAAGGGCCAGAGACACGGTGCCTCAGATCCCAGGCATCTCAGAAATCAGCTACAAAATGGCTGCAAAATTAGTGGATAGACTTTTAAGACGTCTTTATTACCTTAATTTTCTGAGATAAGAATTCTGTGTAAAATTGTAGCTGATAATGGATTCTGTTTTCTCTAGGGCCCGTTGGGTGCCAGGCACGGTGCTGAGCCCACAAAACCTTCATTTATCCCATTTCATAGTTCCCAGCCATCCAGTGTCTATGTCAGTATGCCTCTCTGTCCGAGGAGCAAACACAGGCTTGGAGGTGGTATGTCTTGTCCGAGGTCATAGCATTAGAATGTGGTGATACCGGGTGTCACCTCAGCCATGTCACCAAAACCCAGGCACTTTCTCAGGCTTCAGAGATGTTACCAGATCTACAGGCTCTTCCCGTTTCTACCTTTTCTACAGGTACAGCGATCATTAATATCGCAAAGTCTTAGCTTGAGGCTCACTGGATGGGTGACACTTGCAGGTTATTTAAATGAGGCTCAGCTTCCTCACCTGTAAAACGGGGGTGATAATCGCGCCTTCCTCATAAGGCCATTTTGAGCATTGAAAGAGATGACTCTGTATCCAACATCAATTGTCTTGCAGAGAGGGAAAAGGAAATTTTAGCCGTTAAGACGTATTAGTGACACTGACCAGTCTCAAAGTACTTTGGGATTATCCAGTGAAATTTACCTTGGTTTGGTGTTTATGAAAAGGCTTACAGAGGTGCTGTTCATTTATGTAATGACCCATGCTTTCACTGTCTTATCCCAAGGGATGAAACTACTTTCCTTAGGAAACAGCGTATTTCATTTGAAAAGCAATGAGTTATGCAATTTATCATGTCTCCTTTTGGCCTTGGCTGTTGCAAACTCGCCCTTAGGTTGTGATTCATCCATGCCAGTGTCGTCTTTAGTCCAGGCATTATGGGTCAGCGATTTCTTTAGCTTGTCACTTGCTTCTTTTATCGCAGTTTTACCTTTTTTAAAAAAAAAATCCTTCTTGCTAATTATAAGCTACCTCAAATGTGGTCGGGCATAAATTATAAAACAATGTTCATTATAATTTAGTGTCAAAGGTGTTTTATTAAACTGTATGAAAACCAATTGTTCTTACAATAGCTTGCATGGTAAACAGGCTGTCCTATTGCCCAATATTCTAGATAACCTGGTTTGCAGAATTTGGTAACATATTAAAAGTGGGTTAAACAAATTAACATTGTGATATTTTCTGAATGCATTTTCATACTCAGGGAACTTTTAAACAGTAAAAATGCGGCTTGGTAAGAGAACCAGCATCATCAAAACCAGGCAAAAAATAAAGTACTCACAGTTTCTGGGGAGGAAGAGGAGAAGTTGGTATCTGAGTTTAGGCAGGAGCAAGCATAGCTCCTTGTCTGGCATCTCAGTGCTCTGCAGAAAACTGTTAAATAATGGTCGTGCAAACTTCTCTTACTTGTCAAAGAAGCCTCAGATAGAAACATCAACGTGATGATTGTTGCTGTTGCTAACGAGAAATGGAACCCTGGTGGACTCCCTGCCCTATCCTTGTTGCCACATAAACATTCTGGTGACTTCATCACAGGTAGAACACTCTGAGGTTCTTCAGCCCAGGGCGGACGGTGGGAGCCTGACTCATTCCAAGAGTGGTACAGATGTAAACGGTGCCTGCTCTTCTTCTTCTTTTTTTAGCCAAAAACATCCTTGTCATTAACAGACCTTTGAAACGGAGTCAAATGTCTTTGAAACGCCAGTGGAATATGATAAAACTGTCCGAGGAAGGTATGTTGTGATTTTTTTCCCCGCAGATGTAACTCTTGTCAGAATAGAAAATAATTGGTTCATTCGGTCAACATTCCGTGAGCGTCCTCAGTTGGCCAGGTGCTGGACTAGGCACGGGAGGAAGGAGATGAGTAGGATGTCCCCTAAAGACCTCGGTCCACTCAGGGAGAGCCTCGTGAACAGTTAATTACAGAACAGTATGGTAGGGGCAGGCGGTCGTGACAGCCTGTCGGGGGCACGGATGCGGGCTGAATTGTGTTCCCCCAGAAGGTATGTTGGAGTCCTAACCCCCAATACCTGTGAATGTGACCTAATTTGGAAATGGAGTCCTTGCAGATACAGTCAAGATGAGGTCAGACTGGATTAGGGTGGGCCTTAAATCCAGTGTCTGGGGCCCTTTGTAAAGAGGGAGATTTGCAGACACAGAGACACGTGACAATGGACACAGACATGAGAGTTCTGTTGCCATAAGCTAAGGGACACTAAGCCCAGCCAGCAACCACCAGCAGCTAGCGAAGGGCAAGGGAGGGTTCTCCCCCGGGTCCTTCAGAAACAGCATGGCCCTGCCAACACCTTGATTTCAGATTTCTGGCTTCCAGGGTGAGAAGTGAGCTAGGCGGGAAAAATCGGAAAGGTGGCACCTGAGAACAAAGAGACATGGAAGCCGCCACAGCTGGGAAGTAGCTGCAGGCTTGTTTTAAGGATTTTGAGCCTGGTCTCCCGGAGCCCCAGGATCCCATGCACACAAGCTCAGGTTTTTATGTGTATGTTTCCCAGGCCCTGTTCAGGTGTCGGGGTGGGGAGGGCAAGGGGGGCATCCTTTCATTAGGTTGTTCAAAGGAGCCACAAGGTCACAAACTGGTGATGTCAAGGGGTCTGGGGGGAACCAGACGAGACGAGGCTGGTGAGGTCACCAGCTTGACTGTGACCCTGCCGAAACCAGGCAGTACAGGGGAGATTAAACAGATGGGACGGAGCAGAGCCTATTTCGTAAGAGAAAATAGGCGTTGGCTTTCCGCTGGACATTGGAAGTGGGGGAAAGGAGGGGCGTGGAAGGGGACACCTCGACTTCTATTGTGGGCCTAGGAGGATGGGGGCTGTTCACCAAGATAATGGGTGCAGGGTTGACGGGGGGAGAGGCAGGGGAGGCCGGTGGTGGCAGCGACCTGCGGCGAGTCGGCTGGTTCCCTTTCAAGCTAGCCGAGCTTGAGCCTGGTTCTAGCTGATGCTCACAGATGAGATCTGGGTCCTTCCTTGGCATTGGTTTATGAAGCAAGCAAAGGCCACGATGTGTCTGAGGTTTGGCACGAGAGCCCAGAGGGAGAACAGGGGGTCAAGGAGAGAACCTGCAAAGGAAAGCAAGACACAGTAGCCAGGAGGGAGGAAGACAGAAGACCCGTTGTTCCAGAAGTCAAAGGTGGAAAGGTCTTCCAGAGACACTGGGCCGCCAACAGGGTCAGATCCCACAGAAGTGACAAGTTCCATTTAAATTTGACAAGTGATTCTGAGAAACATCTATTTTAAAATATTTTCAGAAGGTATTGTTAAAGCACGGTGAAGGCTCTGAGCAATCTGTGGTTCCTGTAAGACTGAAAATGAGGAAGGGCATTTACAAGTCCCAGAAGTGGGCACCTGAATATGCCTTCTCTGTCCCTGACGTGCATGATAGGAAGGCCAGACAGGGTGCTCACTAAGCTAACTGAAGGCTGGGCGCTCCCCAGGTGCACCCCACGTTGGTGGAGTGATTTGCCGGGCAATGCGCCATGGTGCTTGTGTGCTGTTTCTGCAGCGACAGCTCAAGCTGTGTTGGGTGCTGTGTGGGAACTGTCGGGATCCCTCGCTCCTGCCCTGGGCTTTACCCAGTGTGCCACTGGCCATCCTCCAAATATGCTGCAGTTTCCTGCTCTTATACCTTAAGCCATTCCCGCTTTTCTCGTTCGCCTTGGCTCGGGCTCTGTCACCTTCTCTCACCCCACTTGGACATTTGTCTAAATTCACCCCTCCGATGGGTCCATTTCAAGTATCCCCCTCCCAAACCCTGCTGGGGTCCCTAGGTGGGCAGTGCTCTCTCCGTGGCTTGCTGAGCCGTGGGTGGGAGAGCTGCTCTCCTGGGCCCCCAGCACCCTGGGTGCTACATCCATTCTTGCTCTGGATTCCATGGCTAAAGCACCTCTTCCTCCAGAGAGGAAGTCTGGATTCCAGGATTATCTGGCTCAAGGCCTCATGAGTGACATGATGCTTGTGGCCTCTGGGAAGGGGCTCAAAGTTGGGGCTGGGTGGCTTTGGATGAGAGTTTCAGGCTGATGGAGACAGAAGCACGTACCATCCTTCCAATGATCTCAGCAGAGAAAACCTCTCCAGATATGCCCGTGTGCTGACACACTCCCTGAGGCCACAGGACCAGAGCACTGGGCACCAAACACAACTGAGCCATAAACCAGCAATGAATTTTTGGCTAATTAGGCTGATGTTTAAATTCATTTCAAAATAAAAGTCAACATGCTGACATTCTAGATGGCTTCATTTTAACTGAAGCCATTGATTAAAAGTCCACTTAGACCCTCTAGATACGGTTTTCTAAAAGTCATGGGGTGTTTTTGCATCAAAAGCATGTGGTTTCCTCCTGGGGCTTCAAAGTCATCATTTGTAGAAGAGGAGCTTGTTGGCCTAAGACCAGCAGTGTTCTTGGACCTGAGCTGCATCGAATGTTCTGTAGGGCTTGCTAAAACTTTGATGGCTAAGCCCCACCTGAGTTTCTAGTCAGTAGATCTGCAGGACAGTGAATGGGACCCAAGAAGGTGCATTTCTAACAAGTTTACCCATGATGCAGAGGCTGGTGGTCTAGGAGCCTCACTTTGAAAGCCCTCACTCTTAAACAACACTGTGAAGTAGGACCCCATTGGGTTTCCAAGAAGCAGAACCCGAGGCAGGGATTGGGGGGGCATGTGGGAGAGGGTGCTGTCCAGGAAAGGATTGTGAGAGAGTTAAGGAGCCCTGATGGGGTCTCAGGTACACTCTGGCCCTTGGGTTACACTCGGAGCATAAATAATAGAGCTTCCTGGCTTTTGTACCCATTTCTTGCCCTCCCCCCCGCACCCTGGGCGGTGGGCAAACAGAGAGAAAGGCATAGCCTCCCCAGAAGATGGTTCTCAGAGAAGAGTAAAGCTGTGAATCACTGACAGCTATCCTCCCAACAGCTGGGGGATAGGCCAGCCCGCCACAGCAGGGCATGAACAGAGACAGCTCCAGGTTCTAATTTCGTCGAGGGGAAACCAGAATCAGTGAGGTTATGTGACCTATACAAAGCGACACAACTAGAATTCGGCCCCGCCCAGGGTTGCTGGATTTCTGTGATGACATACACTTGTCTGGTGTATGTCCTGCAGGGGCTCAGGGCCTGCCCACCCTCTGCCAGTTTCCTTTTAACCAGGACAATTTCTTGATGTAGAGTGGACTTCAGCTGCCCCTGTGAGAGGTCAGGGCCAGACCAGCTCCCACTGTGGGGCGAGGGAACAGACCGGTCTGGACCCCTCCTGTCCTTACACCAGGAGCAGGACCAAGGCCAGGTGCAATCCATTCTGGCTAATGCGTTTTCTGTATTGGAGACATGAACCCTTTTCCCATGAGAGTGATGGATCCCCACTGCTGGAAAAGCCAAAACTTTTGTTCTTGCTCACCTGCCCCAAGTGTCCCCCCTGCTTTGCCTTCCTCAGAGATGCCAGCGCAGGTCACCCGATGGTGGGAGCCTTTACTGGTGGTGACAGTTCTGTGGTCAGGTGGGAGGGCTTGTGTCGTTACCACATGCTGGGCACTCTGCTCGGGCCTTGCTATTCATCATCTCATTATTTCTTATCACCACCCTAGGACATGAGAAAATAAAACCCTGACAATTTAAGTAACTTACCCTAAATTACTTAAATTGACCAAGTGGTTAGTGGCAGAGATAGATTTGAATCAGGGTCTTTCTTTCCCGGATTCTATGCTTTTAACCACTCCAGTAACTCACCTCCTCGCGTCCTTTGAGGTCATTATGTCAGGCATCCTCCTGTGTGGCTTTAGTCCTACCTCATTTTCACTCAGAACTAGGTTCATGGCTCCAAGTTCCAAGTTTACTGGTTTTGGGAATTCTCACACATATTGAACATTTTCTTTTAATGTTGCCATTATGTGGCTCATAAGTTTTTGCTTCCTTTCTTTCAATAAATAGCACATTGTAAGTGCTTACCCTTGTTTGCCACATAGACTTTATAGTTGTTGTTTTAAAGGCCTTACATTTCATTCAATGCATCTACCTCAGTCTCCCCAACTAGTCTGTGATGGGCATAACAGTGGTGCCCCCAAATATGTCCATGTCCCTAGAATCGGTGGACATCTTACCTTTCATGGCAAAAAGGACTTTGCAGACTGAAGAACCTTGAGACGGGACAGCTCTCCTGGATGATCCGTGGACCCGATCTAATCACAAGGGTCCTGGTAGGAGGGAAGTGGGAGGCTCAGAGAGAGAAGGAGAAGAGATGGTGGAGGCAGAGTTTGAGTGACGTGGGGCCAGGAGCCAAGGAAAGCCGGCTGCTTCTTGAAGCTGGAAAGGCAAGGAGACAGACCCTCCCTAGAGCCTTCCGAAGAGTGCAGCCAGCTGAGACCTTGACTTGAGCCCTGTGAGACGTGCACTAGACATCTGATGTCCAGAGCTATAAGGTATCACATCTGTGTTGTTGGAGCCTCGAAGTTGGTGGCCACTGATGTAACAGCCACAGGCCACTAATGCCACAGGCCCCTGCTTGTCTGGCCCTGGTGCTGTCCCTCCTCCCCACAGGGGTGAGGTCACTTCCCCGGAGCTGATGTTGATCCCATGTCATCGTGTTCTGGGCATTGTGTGCATTGTGCTGAGGGCTAGTTAGTTAGGTCAGTTGAACTTACCCAGTCCCTCTATAAAGTTGGCTCCCTTGTCACCCCCACTTCACAGCAAGGAGCCAAGGGATGCTGAGTGACTTGCCCAAAGTCACACATGTAGCTAGAGACTCTGGGACTGAGTGCGGTCTGATGCTAGTGACCATGTGGGCCTGGGGTGGGAGGTGGTGCCGCTTTGGTGACGCTCATGAACAGTCATAAGCAGTGTGGTTTATCAGGCATTAACCCCAGGTCCCACCCCAGGGCCACCTACTTTACACACACGAGCCTCAGTGCCTCAGTGACAAGGCTGGGCAGGAGGTGTTCTTCTCTGCATTTTATGGCTAAAGAAACTCTGAGAAGATGAATAACTCATCTGCTGCATCTGAATTTGGGGCTAGGCTGGGCTGGACTGGGCTGCAGCCTGGGTTTCGCTGGCCCCCAGGCCGGTGCTGACTTTAGAGTTCTTGACACGATGCTGCCTGACTAGAGCCAGGAGATTTCCATCTTCATCAGCTTTATTGTCAGCTCATCGTGACGTATTGACTCTGCACAGAAATCCATGAGATCTTTCAGGTCTTATATTTGCACTTCATGGAAAGTAATCTGTGCACATCATCTGGGATGACTATCTCTGTCACTCGGTAATGGGCAGAGACGGAGGCACAACCACATGTATGGGGTGGGGCTGATGGGGGCTCTGTCGTCACCTAAGGACGAGGTGAGACATGAGCAGGCTTTGGATGGGTCAGTAGAGGCCCTTGAAATTCCTGCAAGCCATGTCCTGACCCCTTTGCTAACCTGCCAAACATAAAAATACTATAGCGTATCATTTGCCCCATAAAATGCTTTGAGTTATTTTAAAATGCTTTGAATTGAGTTATTTGAATTATATGTAAATTTTTAATGAATGCTTCTCATGAGTTGATGAAGACAGGACTCTAACTTAGGGAGGTGCTTCTTAAATCTCCTTTTTCTCGTCACCAGCCCTAGCTGTTGGGGAACCATTCCTTGTAGGCTCTGGAAAAGTCACTTTCCCCAAAATATCTGCATTTGGAAGTCAGCATTGTTACCAGGACTCCAGAGACTGGGCCACACAAACACTCCTTTTTACTCCACCTTCCTGTGTTTGTAGACATTCCCGCATTAGCAACAGGTGCCCAGGTGGATCATAGTGCTGCTGAGTTGTGGATTCTATCCAGGGCTCCATGAGGAGTGCAGGGTAGGTTTGGTGGATCAGGAAATTCCACATTATCTATCCTTACGAAACTCATGGGTGGTGGGGCCGGAACAGGAATCCAGTTTCAAAATTCTTGGCCGCCTGCTGTGTGCCCTTGGACCTGATGGATATCCTGGGCCATCAGGGTGGTAGGTGTCTCTGTGGAGGGCTCTCCACAGTGTCTCCGTTATCCCTGCAGTATTATCACAAAATTATCCCCAGCTATTCCAAAGCAGCTTCAATCTCCGTGTCTGGGCCACGCATGGCTCCTTTAAGCACTGTTGTGTTAAGAGATTGGATGGAAGTTGGTCTTACGTTTCAACCTTTCTTAATTCTAGTGGTGTTGGGAACCTCTTAGATGTGATTTTCTCTCCTGCTGGGTGTAAACTCGGGATGAGGCAGAATGTGAGCAGTCCAAACTTGTTCAACTATTACTGAATCTAGGAACATAAACAACTGCGTGAAAGAAGGAATCTTGCAGCCTAATTGTAAACTAAAGAATAGTAAAATCACGGAGCCTAAACCAGGGGATGGAATGAATGAGGGAAATGTTGTACAAGGTTTTATCATGGACCAGAATATACCAGATTCATCCTTGGCTGGTACAGTACCTAACTAGGTGACGTGGAACTTTATAGTAGCGTTATAGATTCCATCTTATCCTTTCATATACTAAAAAGTAGCAATATTATCTCCTTTTGCCTAGGATTACGGGACAACCAGTACAGTACAAACGATCAAATTGCCTTTAAAAATCTTCAGTCTGATGTTACAGAGAAGAAATCTGACTTCACCGAGGTAACATATTTCTAACTTCTCGAGTAGTCGGCAAAATGCAGCCAACTATAAAACATGATCATTGGCCTACTTATGATGTGTTTGCATTTTATTTTGTTTAGTCAAAACTGAATTAAGGCAGCAGAAGATCTAACCATCGATGACTAAGACTTGTTACATTAAAGGATGCACTGTATATTTAATTATTTTATAATCTTCACCAACAATTTGTAAATTTACAGTATCATAAGAGAGTACAGTGATTGAGTCTCAATTTTAAACCAAAATTAATCTGCCAGAGAGAGACAGAATGATGCCATGCAACATTTCGAAGGTAGAGAAGAGATAATTGGAAATCTAACAAGCTGGTATACATCGTTGTATCTGCGAAAAGCATCAGTTGTCTGAAATAGGGAGAAAATTAGAGGTCGTATTTATAAAATGAAATGTTTCTGATCCCAGAGAACAAAGCACTCTGTACAGGGTGGTTAATATTGCCAGTGTGTCACACACCAGGTTCTGGCTAATTGACTCATTGCATCTTTCCCATGATCCCGGGAGGGTGGTATTATTATTATACCCATTTTGCAGGCGAGAAAAGTAAAGCTCCAGTAGCTCCCTCCGGTAGTTGACTTGCCCTGAACCTCCCAGCTCATAAGCTGTCGGGCTCCAGAGCTTCTGTTCTTATCTTGCTCTAAAGGGCTGGCATAGAGGAAGGCCCAGTTAACAGATCTTAAAATGTGGACTTCCCTGCCTGAAAGAATCATCCAGGGTGTCGTCTTTCACAAATGGATAATCTGCCACCACCTTTTGTAGTTCTAAGAGATTGTGGGATTAGAAGAGTCGATGTCTCATGACAGATTAAAGTGGCAAGGGTATCTGTAAAAAAAAAATCCTCCCCCCAAAATGGTTGTCTTAGGTATTATCCTTTGATTTAGCTTTGCATTTCATGAAGCTCAGAGACCCCAGGCCTGAACTTCCACACGATGGAGAAAGGATGCTAATCTGGGTGTGAGATCTAGTCATCAGTACTTAAAATACTTGCATCAGGCCCTTTCTGTGTGGAAGCACCAAGCTCACTCTCTGAAGATATAAAGATGCCTGGCTGTGACTCATCTGTTTCTGGGGAGCAGGAGAAGGAATGTCAGGTTGCAGGGAAGGAAATGAGCAGGAGGAACAGTGGATCCTTGAGAACCACCCTTGGGAGGAGGTACCCAGTTAAGAAGGGCAGGATAATGATGAAATTGATTGCTACTCTTTTTATTTTTTTTTAAGATTTTATTTATTTATTTGAGCGAGAGAGCGAGCATGCGAGAGTGAGCACAGGGAAAGGGAGAAGCAGACTCTCTGCTCAGCAGGGAGCCCGCACGGGGCTCCATCCCAGGACCCCGGGATCATGATCCCAGCTGAAGGCAGACGCTTAACGACTGAGCCACCCAGGTGCTCCGATTGCTGCTCTTTTTAAGAAAGATACCAGCTGAAGATCTTTCCCACCTGTTTTTCACACTGAGCTGGCAAATTCCAGCATTTTCCTGTTGATGTTAAAATTAATCAGTTTGATTATTAGTGATAAAGATCTTTGGGGCCACGTAGCTGGGTCTCTAGAAAACACACACACACACACACACACACACACACACACACACACTGTCATTTTCTGTGACTGAACTCCCAGAAATCACGCCTTCTAAACATCTGCTTTGGAATGATCTGGACTGTCTACTTTGATCATATCAGTAGTATGACTTTCAAATTTCCCTCCTAACTTTGAGCTTTTAAAGCTTGTCCCTGTGTGTTTGTTATAAGGATGCTGTAAGATGATGAAACACTCCGAATGGATGCCCTTCCTTTGTAACTGCCATAAATCTCCGCCTCTCCTCTGGAGCCAGTGGAAGATTGATCACTTTTCCTTTCAAAATTCGTTGAAGCTGTAGAAATGATATGCAGGCACTTCTTCAACCAAGTGATTATTTAAAAGGAATGAAATATGGAACAGAGTTTTCATCTTTGAAAAAACAATGTTTAAATTTTCCTGATCACAAAAGTAATGGCAGTTCCATGTAGACACTTAGGAAAATATAGGAATATATAAGGAAAAAATATTTATATGTATTTCGTTCCCTTATTTTTCCCATGCAATTTTTTTTACGTAAAACTATAATGTATATCAACTTTTATAGCTCTCTTTTATTACATAACATTCCATCACAAGCAATTTCCCATGGCATTTAAATTCTTTGTAATCTTTATTTTTAATTTCTACAGAATACGATGCAGTTGTGCCTGCTGTGATTTACTTACCCGATCCCCTTTTAAAATACATTTGGATTCTTTCCAGCTTTTCACTGTTATACATGACACTGTACCGAGTCCTTTGGTTTCTTGTAAGTGCATGGAAAAAGACAAAAGTTTCAGGACGGAGATGGAGAAAACCTCCAGTTCTTCCATTTGTCTCAAAACAGTCTTTCCCTAGCGCTACATACCAGAGTGAACTCTTACATTCAAAAATACTCTTGCATGCATGATGAAATGCCACAAGGTTGACAGATTGCTTAGTGGTGATGATGCTGGGTGGACTAAAAAGGGAAGGGGACTGTAGAGAGTATCTGTGCAGACATGGGGCCAAGGCATCCATCTGGCAAACATGGTTGTAGGCTGCAGAGCGACCGGGGAAAAGGGAAGACTGGTCAAGTGGAGAAAAATACAGATTTCAAAGCCACAGGTTGGATTAGATGCTTATCCTTTGGAGAAATAAATTGCTACAGAAATGGAAGCATTCTCATCCCAATGGCTCAGGATCTGATTTCTCTGACCATCCGCCGCCTATCTCTTTCTTCCTTCGATTTATGAAATGGTGCCTTTATAGTAATATGCCTTAAGGCATAAATATAAAGTTAAAAACAGTCAATAAAATGCATAAAACTAGGAAAGCAGTTACCAGCCCCACACAATCATGTTTGAAACATTTAAAAGAAATCAATATCTCAAAAGCAGCATTTATGAGAAAGAAAATGTACACAGGTGAGTGTTGTATGAGGATGGTCAGGAAATGGGTGATTTATTGCCAAAGCAAGACATGACATCCCACTATTCGTTTGACCTTCCTCTGACCTTGAATGTTCTACTTTAAATGCAAGATTATTTTCTTTTCAAATCAAATCTTCCATCAGTTAATCTTATTTTAGATAAAAGATACTCTTTTTCTTTCTTTTAAAGATTTATTTATTTATTTGAGAGAGAGAATGAGATAGAGAGCACATGAGAGGGGGGAGGGTCAGAGGGAGAAGCAGACTCCCCGCCGAGCAGGGAGCCCGATGCGGGACTCGATCCCGGGACTCCAGGATCATGACCTGAGCCCAAGGCAGTCGCTTAACCAACTGAGCCACCCAGGCGCCCGATACTCTTTTTTTTTTTTTT